TAAACAAACATACTGACCTCAAAGGTGTTCTGTTTTTAAAACACACACATACACACAGACAAACTTAAATGAAATACTTAATTTCAATGTTAGGGCCACAACAAAACAGAAAGGAAAGGAAGTCCATATCAAAACAATCTTTTTAGAAAGAAATCAGAAATTAAGAAATCTATTTTTTCCTAAGTTGAAAAGCATGGATCTTCAGATTTGAAATGTCCATCAAGTAAAGGCAGAATATATCAGGAAGCATAAAGTTGAGATTTCACAGGTGCAACTTCCAGTCATGCCCAGAAGACACTCTCTAGCAGCAGGCATCCTGGTCCTCTACAATCTTTTCACCCCCTCTTTTGCAATGTTCCCTGAGCCTTAAGTGTAGGGGTTTCACTGTAGATGTGTCACTTGGGGCTGGGTACCCAACAGACACTTATTCTCTGCATCTGACCAGTTGTGGCTCTCTCCATCTGATGCAAAAAGAAGCTTCTTTGACGATGATGAGTGAGATGTCCACTAATCTGTGCGTTTCTGGATAATTCTTAAAATATGATTAGAAATTGTATTGGTTTAGGGAAAGGACAGTAGTAGGCTATCCTCTAGGGTCCATGACTTCTCCAACCACATGTATTTGGATAGCTTATAGTACCAGGCATGAATTCTCTCCTACTGAGAGGGCCTTAAATCCAATCAGACAGACACCATGCCAACATGATTGGGGGAAATTTCGCAAGGTCACATTTCTAGATGAATAACTACAGGCAATTAATGGCTGCTGAGAGAAGAAAAGTCAGTTTTCTCCAGGGGATGAGCTTTCTGATAGGTTATCCAATCCTAAGTGGTCAGCCCTGAACACATGGGGATTAACTATCAAAACGACTATGCAACAGAACTGTTACGAAGGGAAGGACCAGGTGTGGTGGTTTAAATAAGTGTCCCTTGTAGGCTCCAAGTATTTGAACACCCGTGCCCAGTTTCTGGTGCTGTTTAGGGAGGGTAAAAGAACCTTTAGGAGGTGCAGCCTTGCTGGAAGAAGCATGTCACTGGAGGTGGGCTTTGAGCGCTCTTAAGCTTTGCTGGATTTCCAGTTTCTCACTGCTTCCTGTGCCTGCTTGAAAAGGTGAACACTCAGCTTCTGCTCCAACACCTTTGCCAACATGCCTTCCACCACAATGGACACTTACCCTCTAGAACCATAAGCCAAATAAAATCTTTTCCTCCTATAAGCTGCCTTGGTCATGATGTTTTATCATAGCAACGGAAAAGTAACTAATACATCAGGTGACGTGTTGGAGTGAAGGGGGGAGCAGCAAGGGAGACAGTGAAGTAAGGCAATGGATAACATCTCAATATTTTCAAATCAGTACATACAGAAGCATCTCATGTGATAAGACAGAGATAAATACTAACTGAAGCCCTAACATAGAGAAAACCAAAGAAAGAATCCTGTTTTTTAAGCGTTGCATGCTTAAGTATCTATAGCTTCAAGTCAATAAAAAAAAATATATACTTTAAAATGGGGAATTTTATAAAAAGGAAATAAAAACAGCCAATGCAAGAAGATTCAGCTGGGTGTGGTGTAACACGCCTGTCATTCCAGAACCTCAGAAACACAGGCAGGAGGAAAGGGACAAGATTGAGGTCAGACTGGTCTACATAGCAAGACCCTGTTTTAAAACAAAGAAGAAAAAGGAAAAAAAAAAGGAAAGAGGATTTCAAACTGTATTACTATTAGTTACAGTGAATTTGGTTGTAAAGGAATATTACAAACTTCAGAACAATCAAGTGACAAAAAGAAAATAAGAGAGAAATGATAGAATCATATACAACGTTCAATCAAAGGCGTATAAGGCAGAAGAGTGGAAAACAGAGGAGGAGGGAGGAAAAAAGAGGGAGGGAGAGAGAGAGAAAAGATATAAAGAACAAGGGCAACAAACAGAAAACCAATAAATAGATATAAAATCCCATTATATTACTAATTTTTTCTTTACTTTTTAAATACACCAATTATAAGACAAAAAAAATTGCCAAAGAAGACTAAAAAATTAAAAGCCTACTGTGCTGGAATCCCACTTTAAATAATGGCACAAAGGGGAATATAAATATAGCTGAGTAGAGGAAGGCTTACCTAGCAAACAGAAAACCAATAAATAGATATAAAATCCCATTATATTACTAATTTTTTCTTTACTTTTTAAATACACCAATTATAAGACAAAAAAAATTGCCAAAGAAGACTAAAAAATTAAAAGCCTACTGTGCTGGAATCCCACTTTAAATAATGGCACAAAGGGGAATATAAATATAGCTGAGTAGAGGAAGGCTTACCTAGCATGTGCTAAGGCCTAAGAGTCTGATCCCACGCAGTGAAAAAGAAAAAAATCAGGATAAAAACACAAATGCATTAAAAGTAAAGGAATGAAGAGAAGCTATACTGTGCTAACAATAACAAACAGCTAGAGCAGCTATATTAACTTCAGACAAAGTTCAAAGACAAAAACATTACCAACAATACAGAAGTCAATATTCCAAATTACATAGCAACCCTTAATGTGTGTGCACCTAACATCAAAGCAACAAATACAAGAAGTAAACACTGATCTTACCAAAGAGAGAACAAGAAATCATTAATAATGCTGAAAATTATAACACTGCATTAGTAACTAAAGATTTCAGCAGGAAGTAAGTAACAGCATAGCTGAACTGAAAATCAATCTACATATAACTGACCTCTTCAGAATACTTTATCCAGCAATAGCAGAAAATATATTAGATAAGATGATTCATCAACAGTACACTTTGAACTTCACAGAAATTATACAAAGCATGCTTTAAGAGCTATTAAAGAGTCAAAAATCTCTACAGAATCTTTAAATATTTTAACTAAATGGAAAATAAGAACACAATTTCTCAAAATGTAGAGGCCAGGAGAACAGCTCAGCAGTAGACCAGGTGCTGGGCATGGACAAGGATCTAGGTTCAACCTCCAGCACCAAAAAAGGAGCACATAGAAAAGGAGCTCTTGTCAGATGCAGAACAAGCACTGCTGAAGGAAAATGCACAGCACTGAATGCACACACTCTGAGAGGAAAGAGCATGTTACTCATCTGAGTATCCCACAAAAAAACTAGAAAAGGAGGAGAAAATTAAATCCAAAGTAAGCAGAAAAAAATGAAGCAAGAATTAGAACAAAATTCAATGAAATTAAAAACAGGAGGGAAGTCATGCCAGGCATCTGTAATCCTAGTACTTGGGAGGTTAAGGGAAGAGGACTGGGGCGTCCCAGGCTGACCTGGGCAATATAGTGAAACCTATATCCAAAAAATGAACATGCCCTCCAAATAAATGAGGGCAGGGAGAGAAGGAGACAGAGAAGAGGGAGAGAAAGAAGGAGAGGAAAATGGAGAGGGAGTGGAAGAGGGAGACTAATACCAAAGTGAAAGCAAGCTCATTCACTATGGTCCTCCAGTCACTAACACAATAGCAAGGGAACATTAAATCAACTCTGTGCACACAAATAGCATATGCAATGCACCACCTCTCTGCAAGACAAAAGGAAAGAACACTGAATAGGTCAACATCTTATGTAGAAATTGAAGAATTAATAGAAATAGAAAACACTAAGCTCAAATTGTCTCACTGATGAATCCTACCAAATATTCATGTAAGAAGTTACACTAGTTGTCTACAATTCCTTCCACAACATAGAAGCAGAAGGAGTCATTTCTAACTTATGAGAGCAGCATTTAAATAATACCAAGGGAGAAAAAAAAAGACACTGCAGGTTCAGAGACTGGTATCTCTCATCAACACAACAAAAATCCTCAGTAACTACTGGCAAATCAAAGCCACAATGGGCAAGAAGAATTATTCACCAAAATCAAGTATGACTTACTCCCAGAGAAAAGGCTGTTTGACACTCAAAACCAATTAATGTAATTCATCATATCAACAAGCTAAAGATAACAAAAAATGTTTATTCCAGTGTCCTTTATGGAGGCAAAACCTGACCCACAATCTACTATCCATTAACAGAGGGAAAGTTTTTAAAAATTATGATAAACTAAATCAAAAAGTATAATATAGCTATTAAATAAAGTATCAATCTGTACTCACCTAAAAAATGTCTATAGTTGATAGAACTGAAATTATATATATATACAATGCTATTTTATAAATAGAAGATAAACATGTTTATAGGTTTTCCCAAGGCATTTCATCATCAGATCACAGGAAGTCTAGAAACCTAAGTACTACAAGGTTCCCATGGGTTAAGTGAAGAGCTAGGACTTAGCAAAGAAGGAAGAAGGAAAGTAGCTTCTCCCTGGTGAACCTTTGGTTGATTTGGCAGAATCCACCATGCGGCTTTGGAAATCTACCAAAGTGAGGAAGCAGATGAGAGGGAACATGGAGAGAATCCATCTGGAGTAAACCTCGCTATTCCAACTGTGATATAAGATTACATGAAAGGGACTGGAGAGGTGAGTTTAGGAGTGCTTACTACTCTTGCAGAGGACCTGGACTCAGTTTCCAATACCCACACGGCAGCTCACAAAGGCATGCAGTTCCAAGGTATCTGACACCCTCTCTGGCCTCCGCAGGCTCCAGCACACATGTGGTGTGCTCACCCAGGCACACACACACACACACACACACACACACACACACACACAAAATATGTGTGTATATATAGATATATATATATATACCAGAGGACCTGGACTCAGTTTCCAATACCCACACGGCAGCTCACAAAGGCATGCAGTTCCAAGGTATCTGACACCCTCTCTGGCCTCCGCAGGCTCCAGCACACATGTGGTGTGCTCACCCAGGCACACACACACACACACACACACACACACACACACACACAAAATATGTGTGTATATATATATATATATATATACACATTTTTCTAAAAAGAGTATAATGAAGATCATTTAACATGTCACCAATGGCTCATCAGGAAACCTAATAATAGCTATCCAGATTAAAATGTAGATGCATACCTTTCTTCCTCAGAAGAGTTCATATTTTCTCCATAAAGAAGTAAAGTAAGTCCTTCTTCTACAGAAGCAATTCTTGTCAAAATATCAGCTATGTGAATTAAAGCTGTTTCAGAGCAATTTGGAGCAGGCTGCACATTTTAAAAAAAGACAAGACAAATCATAAAATTTTATGATGTATCAAGGGTGGTATATGTTCAAATAAAGTTTTATTGCTGCTACAACAACAGAAACCTTAATGATTTGTTTGGTTATAAAATAATATATCAGAATTAAATGTGTCATTGGATTATATTCTTTTACCAGCTAATGAGGCAAATAAATTCAGGAATTTTGCCTCTGCCTGTGATTGAGAATTGCCATTCCAGTTACAGCTTTATGAGTAACTCTGGTTACCTCATGCAGTAGCTCCCTCCATTCTATGCTGCCTCGTACTTTTCAGGCACTCATTATTACAGTGTATGTGGTATCTAACAATATAATTCAACTTATTGATACCACTTGTATACCTAACTCAGTGAGGACTGACTACAACAGCCAGTTCATGGGCTGGCCAATAGAGAGATAATGTTACTCACCGAGGAAACAAACTGAACCAATCATATCTGCCCACTTCAAACAGAAGTACTAAAATGACTTTGCTAACAGGTAACAAAATAGCAGAAAACAAATACTGAAACGTAGAAATGCTATTATTGCTGAAGCCTGTTTATAGCAATTCCTATTCTTTTTAGGACCTGCTTGTTGTTTTCGGTCTATATGGATACTAATGTTCATATTCTCTAAAATGAATTTTAAAATGCCTACCTTATAACCAACAGCCATACAAACTTCACGAATTTCCTTAGCAAATATGAGTCAGGCACAGTCCCTTAAAATTATAAAGGGCAGAAGCTGGGGAGATGGCTCAGTGGGTAAGGGCATGAGAACCTGAGTTCAAATACCCAGCACCCACATACAAAAACCAGGTACGGCTGCATGCACCTGTAATCTCAGTGCTGGGGTGGTGGGGGGAGCAGGAAGACCACCAGGGCTTGCTGGCTGCCAGCTTAGCCCCCAGTTCGGTGAGAGACACTGTCTCAAAGGAATAAGGTGCATAGTGATAGAGAAGGGTATGTGAAGTCCACATGTGGACCCCAGGCATTCATACACACACACACACACGTATACACAACATGTACAATGTACATACCACACACTAATACCTGCACACATTTTATATGTGTGCATGTTGGTCAAAGTTAAATGCCCACTTGATAGAATGGATAATCACCTAAGGAGATGGACCTCCAGGCATGCCTAAAGGGATTATCTTGACTACACTAACTGAAGTAGGAAGATCTATCCACTGTGAGTGGTGCCATGCCCCAGCCTGGATTCTGGACTCTGTAAGTGAAGAAAGGGGATTGAGCAGAGGCATGCATCCATCCCTCCATGCTTAATTGTGGATACAATACGGCCAGTTCCTTCCAACTCCTTCTTGTTCCTACCATGATGAACTGTCCCTTGAACCATGAGCTAAAATAAACATTCTCTTCTATATTTGTAGTACCCAGCACAGAGCACTGATACACATTTCAATAGGTGATGCTAGGCGGCTTAAGTTAGATATTAGATATCTACTATTTGTAAGTGGACTAGGCCTACCCTCAAGAATAAATAATTCAAAGCCAGCAAGATGGCTCACAGGGTAAAGGTGCTTGCTGCTAAGCCTGACAGCCAAACTTTGATCCCTAGGTCCTACGTGGTAGAAGAAGAGAACTGCTTCCTATAAGCTGTCATCTAGTTATTTGTTATCCCATTATAGTGTGGGCCAAAAGGGAAATGAAACAGGTAAAGCTGCTACAAAACAGATTAAAAAAAAATTTCCACACTTTTGACGCACTCCAAAGACCACTGTCACAAAGCTCAAGTCCCAGGAGAGAGCTATGCAGACGTACAGCAAGTTGGGTAAGGACACCAACACTGCTATGTGCTGAACATCTCACATGAGCAAGTCATTTCTTTCAGCCTCAATAATAATAATTAAATTGTATTACATAGGGAAAATACTGTGTCATACATGCTCAGGTCCAGGACTGAACACATGCTTTCTTCCTAGTACCAGGTCTTCCTACTTTACAGAGTCGGTTCTTCGGGAAAATAATCCAATTTTCAAGGACTCTGAAATTGCCATTAAAATAAACAAGATGTTCACAAGATTTATCATATTTAGAAGACTCTGAAACAGAGTCTTGTTTCTAAACAGTAACTTTTGTCTGTTTTATTCACACCAGCCAGATTAGAAAAATAAGATGCTGTACGTGCATTCCTATCAGCTTGTCATAGCTAATCTAATAAATAACTGAAGAAACTACAATTTAACAAACATATATATATATGAGCACAAACTACTCATGTTTTTTGTTTGTTTTTTATTTTTTTTTTTTAATCTTTTTGAGACAGCGTCTCTCTATAGCCCCAGCTGACCTGGAACTCACTATGTAGACCAGGCTGGCCTTGAACTCACAGAGATCTGCCTGCCTCTGCTGGGATTAAAGGTGTGCACCACCACGCCTAGCTAATACTCATATTTTATATGACACTGTAGCACAATATTTCAACTATAGCAAAAGCAAAAGCTATCAAATATTTACTAATAATAGTCAATGAAGAAGCTCCTTTTCTTTTTAATAAATAAAACCCACCTGAGTTCCTTTCATTAAATTATGAATGGGCTGAAGAAGTGTCTCCATCACAGTGCTGTTATATAAGCACTCAACTGCACATTCTTTTTGATCACAGAGTATCCGAAGAACTTCAGCCACCATACTCGCAGGAGAATAATTCTCTGAGAAGCAGAAAGAAAAGTGAAAAGCTAAAACTTGAAGCATGACTCAGTACTGCTTTCAATTATAGGCTACCTACCATTCCATAAAGTTCAAAAGTAATTCAATTGTTCAAAAATTGCACAACTAAAATCCCAAGGAATGAAGATTACAGTCCAAAACTTATGATCTCAACTAGCTTACTATGCCTTCGAGTTAATATTAAAAAAGGTAAATGACAAAAATATGAATGAGAAAAGAGATATAATATTATTGATTTTGACATCAAATTGCTGCTTGATAGTAAAGATATGGTTTGAAGAAGACTCAACTTTTCTTCTAGGAAATGCTTTAATTTGTATTCACTTTTGTTCTTTTTCTTAAATAATGTACTCAGGTATGTGAGCTCAGAAGAAAAGTAAATGAAGCATTTAAATGAAACCACAGAAGAAAACTGACATGACCATAGAGACAGGAGTACTTGTATCATCCCAAAAGGAAGGAAAGCAAGTGTGATTTTTTACTTATGTATTTATTTATTCATTCATAATTTAGGTATAACTGTTTTTTCTGCATGTATGTAAATGCATCTGTGCTGAATAATGCCCACAGAAGCCAGAAGAAGGTGTTGGATCCCCTGGAACTGGAGTTACAGATGGTTGTTAGCTGCCATGTGGGTGCTGGGAACTGAACCTGGGTCATCTGCAAAAGCAACATATGCTCTTAACCTCTGAGCCATCGTTCCAGCCCTCAAGCTGCATTTTAAGGCTATGTTTAAAAATATGAATAAGAAAGCCAAAAATGTATAAACTGTAATACGGTTGGAATGATTACTAAAATAAAATGTTTTTTTTATTTTATAAATTAAAATGTTTTCAAGATATTTGTTCTAACTTCACAAGTATTATGTAAGACTGTCCTAGAAAAATGCAATATAAAATGAGGTTATTAATGTATGTTATAATAGCCCATATTCCATAAACATGCTAACTTCATGTTGACACCTGACAAAAAGAAAACAAAAAAGGATTCAATGAGTTTTAAACTAGTACCAGGTTTTTTCGAAAGAAAAAAGAAAACCTGTTTGCAATAAGAAATACTATCAATGAGCTATTTATGTAATACAACTAAATGCCTACCAATACTGGACAACACAGTAGTTGGAGAATGAAATAAGACAAAGACCATCCACTAATAGCAAGCCAAAATACTAGGAAGTACTTTTAATATGGAAAAGATAAGTTTTATGACAAAGAACGCTTCAGAAAGGAAGAAACATGAGCAGGGATTAAGCTAGTACTCCCTGCATATAAATGCTGTAAAGACAGTAGAATTTCACAATTGCTGTTAAGATATACTATTATAATTGCACAGATTATACCCACTAGCTGGTTATATATCATAGGACTAATACACAACCCAAACTATTTTTTTCTTTTGTTTATTCGAGTTCCTCTCAGAATCTGCTAACATTTTCAAGATATTTCCCAAGTTTAGAAGACTACAGCCTCCATTATTGGAATATTCTCTTTTGACACTGGAGACTTTTATTGATATTTAAAGGAAAAGGAAGTATTTTTAAAATGTTAATATTTTGGGCTGAGCATGGTGGCATATGCCTTTAATCCCAGCACTTGGGAGGCAGAGGCAGGAGGATCTCTGTGAGTTCCAAGCCAGCCTGGTCTACATAGCGAGTTCCAGGCCAGCTGGGGCTACAGAGAGACCCTGTCTAACAAAGACCAAAAAGAAAAGTTAATATTTTAAAACATTTTCACAAGCCAGGCAACATGCATAAGAGTAAGTGGCACTTTACGATAAAACATGAAGTTGTTTTTTTTTCTTTATTCTTAATAAAAGACCCTGAAAATGATTGAAGATTTAGATGTGAACCAAAACAAGGAAACTGATCAAAACATCTAAGAAAGTATAAAGGAGAGAAAATAGCAAAAAGATGGGGTTAGAGAGATGGCTCAGCAGTTAAAGAGCACTCGCTGCTTTTTTAGAGGAACAGGGTTCAATTCCCAGGACTCACAAGTGGCTAACAACCATCTGTAACTCCAGTTCCAGGGGAATCTGACACCCTCTCCTGACTTCCATGGGCATTGCATGACACAGGTACTCTTACATACAGGCAATACACTCATACAATTCAAAATTAATAAATAAAATTAAAATAGAAACTAGCAAAAGGAGAGCATATGAGCATATGTCAATCAAACTTCTCTTAATATCATTTCTGGAGAACAGGAGAATATCACATTAGGAATAACATTAAAATTCTTGGCTAAACTGGTTCTAAATTAAAAACCTGACAGATTAGAAACATCTTAACATCAGTGAACAAAACTAAAATCCATGGCTTATTTCATAACCAATGTAATTTCTTGCAAATAGTATTCAGTCTTAATAAACTCTATTTACCAAAGTAGGTCAGTTATTTAAAATATCTAGACAAAAGAATACTAAATATTTTAAGTATTTTTTTTCTCTAAAACAGAAGAAATACGGCTTGAATTTCTGGTACTAAAAATCACCCAACCAATCAGTCAGTAGGGGAATTACCTGAATATACAACCGATGTCATCTTTGGACAACTTGGTGAATAACAAATGAGATGGGTAAACAGAACCATCAGATTTGTGAGAGATACTGAATCTTTACAAAGAAAAAAAATGAAAAAATATTAATTCATAACATATGCCTACAATCTAAAAAAGAAAAAGTACCTACATTTCAACTACCTTGAATATTGCATCATAGTCTTGACATAAACTCAATCAGAAGAGAACTATGATCCAAAATATTTTACTCTAAAACAAAACAGTATAGTAAAAAATAGCACCTATTAATTATTTTGCTATGACAAAACACAGTTTTGTCATCTATTTTGAGCTTTCTTGATAGAAATCCACGATAGATACATGAATCTGATTGTGGCTATTTGAGGTAATTCAACGATGACTACCAGAATTCAGCTTAATACACTGACTCAACTAACTTATTTGGCACTGTAAAATAAGGTCAGCAAATTTGTTTTCAATAATGACTAGGCAATGACTACTTTCAGCTTTAAGGCCAAACCAGCTCTATCACAAACACTCAAGCAGGCTACTGTGGTGCTAGGCAGCCACAGACAATCAACAAATGAGTAAGTATGACTGTATCAATTCAACCTTACATTCACTGAAAGTTCATGTTTTCCACACATCACAAAAAGATCTGGGCTCTTCTCAACAGTTAGAAAACATGTTTAGTTCATAATCATACAAACAAAATGTCAGATAAGTTTGGATACATTAGACCAAACCTTGCTGTAGAAGCTGTCATAAAAATATACTAGGGAAGAGCTAGAGAGATAATTCAGTAGTTAAGAGCACTGTCTGCTTTTCTTGAAGACCCAGGTTCAATTCCCAGCATCCATAGGTCCAGGGGATCCAACACCCACTTCTGGCCTCTGTAAGCTTTGCATGACACAGTTGTACTTATGTATGTGTAGGCAAAACACTTGTACACAAAAAGTAAAAATAAATAAATCAAAAAACTAAAATATAAAATATACTGGAGGTACAGCATGGAATTTAAAGTTGGATATAGGTCTATGTTATTATATGCTATTATAGAATACTTGACAGAGCAAAATATAGTCATTAAAAGTCAATATAAAATGCTAAATCTATTACAGATGAGGCTTAAGTTGAATACCTACAAAAACATCAAAGGTCTTTTTAATTCTGTAAGTTCAGCAATATCCTATAAAATAACAGCTCCTTAATCCGAGAGCTCAAGCTATGCCCACAGTGCCTTAAACTATATGACACAACCTTGAGAATTACAGAAGTACATAATGCAATGTCTGTTTTCAAAGGGCTCAAAAGATTAGGACAAATAAAACAACATGATATGAGGATTCAAGATGAATACACTCTGTAAGAGCATCAACGAACCATGGTTCTTATGATCAGATTTTGTAGGGCTCACAGCTAAAAATGGATTTTTCATTTGTAAAATGTGACAGGGGTCCTGAAAACTGTTCAGATTTGATTGACTAGGAAGATCCATGAGACTCATCATATAGCCATATTCACACTACATATTATAATAAAATTATGCAAAGCAAAATCAATGGAAAAGGTTATACAGCCTGAAATCCCTAGCAAACCAGGCAGAAGCTTGTAAGAGCCTGCTCCCGATGGAATCACACAATACATCCAATTCCTCCATCAATGAGCTGTGGCAACACATGTGAAGTGCTGCCGATTAGAAGATTTGAGATGAATGCCCAAAGTTCTTACTATGGGTTGAGCATGTAGACACCCTCTACCCAGCACATATCAAAATTCTCAAAAGTAAAGAAGTGTTCAGCGAGAATCACAATGTTTGTACAGTTTAGGCACAATGACCAGTATAAACACAGTTTGTGTGCCTTTATCAGTGCTGAAAGTGTTATTCCAAAGTCCTAGATGCCAGCCAAAGGCCAACCTTACAAGCAGGCCATTATAAGGAAAGCAGTCTCAGGTCTATGTTAACCCTTTCTTGAACATCTGTAAACACAAAGAATATATAATAAAAAAAAATGGTGTATCGCCCACCAAAACCAAAATATTCACTGACGCTTTTTCAGAAAAAGTTTGCTGAATTCTATTATATAATACATTCTTAGTGCTGGACATAAAGTCTTTATAGAGAATTAAAGATGTTAACTAATATCAATTTTGTAAAGGTAAATTTGGTAAATTAAATTAAGACAGTATAAAATGGTAGAGTAGTACATTAAATGCTGCACTTTAACATCTCCAGGATTATGAAATTTCTATGAGTCCAACATCACTGATAAGATTATTCCATTTTCAAAAACTGAAAAAAATAAAATAAAAATAAAGTGACTTGTTTGCCCAAAGGTCATAGATAATTTGTAGGCAAGCCAGAACTTAAAAGAGGTCTTCTAGTTTTATGTACAGAACTGAATCAGTAAGTATGTCTAGGATTTTGAAAAACAGAGAGAAGTAGGAAAATCATTAAACACTGAAGAAATAGAAAAAAAATATTTTCAGGAATAATTATAAGTATATACTGAGAACCAAAAAAAGAAGAGCTTCAAAGAAAAAAATACTCTAATTATATAAGACTAAAATACATATAGATAAGGGCTAGAGTAGATACCAAACCAAAGCTTCAAATATGAGTCTGTATAATATAAACCTTCCCATATCTTAACCTATTCATTTAGCCTAAATATACTTACCTTTTCTATTCTTCAACTTTATAGGAAATAGTTTTCTGCCTTGTTTATAGATCAATAATCTTCCTAGAAGGCACAGTGAATGAATGAAATAAATATATTGTAATTCTTGTCCTGAGTAGTAGAAACTTTTCTGCTTGTTGCCTTAAAAGAAAAGAATATTTATTTTAATAATGTTATCTTTCACAGTATGTCTTCAATCCCTCTTGAACACCACAGTGTTGTAGTCCAAAACAGAGACACTACTGGAGTTAATTTTTTTAATATTTATCTTCCTAATTATTACCTATGATATTTTATAAGTCCAAGGAAAATTGGTCATTATAAAATTGGTAATTCTCAGAAAAGTACACTATGAAACTAGTGTTCAATCTAAAAATACCATTATATTGACAGAGTTATCTGTCACCAAAGAGAGTTTTCAAAAATAATGGAGGGAAGAAGTCAACAGAAAAGGTCTTAATTTGTAGCCCTGTGCTTGGTTTTAACTGTCAACCTTACACACCCTAGAAACACCTGTCTTAATGAGGCATTACATAGATCAGGTTGGCTTGTCTGTGGGGAACTGCTTTGATTCTTAGTTGATGTACAAAGACCTAGCCCATTATGGGCAGCACCATTCTATAGGCAGGGGGTACTGAACAGTGTAAGAGAGGAGAAAACCAGCTGAGAGCAAGCAAGCAAGGATCCTGCACGTATTCTTTCGCTGCTCTTGACTGTGGATGTGATGTTTCAAGTTCCTGCCTTGACTTCCCATAATAATGGACAGCAACCTGGAAATGTAAGGCAAATAAAGTCTTTCCTCCCCTCTATCACTTTCTTTCAGGGTGTTTGTCACAACAGAAAAGAAACTGGAACAGCTACATAAAGTCAACATAAATGAAGTCTACAAAAATATTCCAAAATTGTTTTTCTTTTGTTTTTGTTTTTTAATTATTTATTTAATAAACACATACTTAGAAGAAGCATTTCATTACATCAGAATTGACATATTCAACAGGAGGAACTCTGAAATACTTCAGACATATTTTGGGTACCAAGCATTTTAAATAAAGGATATTCAACCTGTACTATAACATGCCATATTACTACAACCACATTTGCAACTGAAATTAGAATCTATAAATAGATATCACCCAAGATATAATCTCCATTCATTTATCAGTCCTACATTCAAGGTGTACTGAGTACTGATTTTACACTATCCTAAACAACTTCACAGATGTTAAAAAAAAAAAAACTACTAAGTAGGGCTGTGGAGATAGTGTAGTCAATACAGTGCTCACCTTGTAAGCACAAGGACCTGGGTTTGATCCCCAGAGCACATGTAAATATACATGTGCAAGCAACAAAAATAAGAGCAAGCATAGCGGCACAGGCTTATAATCCCAGTATAGGGAAGACAGAAACAGAAGGATCACTGAGGCTTCTTGGCCAGTCAGCTCAGCCTTTTCAGTATGGTCCAGACCAGTGAGAGACCCTGTCTCAAAACAGCAACAAGGTGGATGGCCCCTGAGGAATGAAATGACACCTGAGGTTGACCTTTGGACTCCATATGCACCTTGCACACAGGTACACCCCACACACATCAACTCACATAAGCATGCACATAAAAAAATACAGTAAGTAACATGGAAGTTGGGTTTCAAGTCACTGTATGTCCAACAGTATGGTATAATCAGCATGTGAGGACAGCGAGAGGACCGTGAAAATAGAAGTGGCAGATCATGGAGGAATGCACCACAGAAAGAATATGGACTGTAATAATGAGGCCATGGGGAAGATGTTAAGAATCTTTAGGGAAAAAGTAGAAATCAAATGTGGGTTGTGGAGAATGGCTTTCATGGAAGTATAGAAGGTCTAAGTCTAAAGAAACTCCATTTAGAAATTATGAACAAGGGGAGAGATGGCCAGCAGCTAAAAGCATGTAAAGCTCTCTCAGAAAGCCCAAGTTCAGTTCCCAGTACCCATGCTAAACAGCTCACAACTGCCTGTACCTCCACTTCCAAGAGATCCAGTGCCCTTTTCTGGTCTTCACCAGCAGCTGCACTCACAGGCATATACCCACATACAGACACACATGAAGGAACACAATTAAAAATAAAAGCAAGTCTTTTTTAAAAATATGAACAAAACCAAAAACATAGAAGAGACAGACAAAAATAAATGTTTAAGAAAATAAAATCAGCATTATGTAGCCAGGATTATACACGGCAGTGAAGGAATGGCAGAAGTTAAGAAAACTACAGCTCCTAGCTTGATGGTAAATTTTCTTCCTATAATTAAGTAATTTGAATAAAGAACAGGTAGGTCTAAACGGAAGAATCAGTAACTAGGGGTCTTGATGTTATAGTTTGGGAAGGATCCATGTAACATCCCAATAGTGACAGTGAGATACAGGTATGGATCTGAAAGTCAGGAAAACAATGCTCACTTGAATATTTGTTAACATTTACAAAAAAAAAAAAAAACATGCAATATATAAGACCATGAAAGTGAATAGGCTCTCTCAAAACAATAAGCAGACTTGAGTTTTAAAAAAAGGGGAGGGGGCAACATGTCTTTGAATACACATAAATAAAAAGAGAAGTATCTTTCAAGTGACTAAGAAAACCCTGCTAGAACGGCTGAAGCAATCAGAGAAAGAACAATGGTGTTATGAGAGGGAAAAGAATCAGTAGAGTGTGTGCTGGAAAATAAGAACAAGCATAGAAACCATGATGGGAAGGTCATACAGTAGTAAAAGACTAAGCCTCAATTCTGAGGCCGAAAATGAACATCAGGTAAAGAACTGGTACTCAGAATAATCCAGAACTGGGAACAGGCTAAAACCTTCAAGTGACACTTTCCAAACACACACTTCCTCCAGCTAAAGCGCACCTCCCAAAGGCTTCGTAACATCCAAAAACAGTGCCTCCAGAAGGAAACAAGAGTTCAAACACATGAGCCTATGGCAACCATTTCATTCAAACTACAACAAAATCTAGCCAGATTCCAAACTAATACACAGAGTAACTGAGGTCAGAAAATATATATTTGCACCTTCAATCTATGTCACAAACTCTTCCTGCTCAATTCCTTGAGCACCTGAAAGAATGGAAGACTGAAATAATCTAAAGTTGGTGAGCTTCAGGAAGGTATTAACAAGTATTTTGAAATAAATAGAATACCCTGAAGTCTCCCGTAGACAAGGAAGAAAACAGAGCAATGAGAAGCTAATGGAATGGTAAAGGGGTGAAGGCATGTGAGAGGCAACGTTTTAATAACAAATTAGAAAAATGTACAAATGTAGACAGTAACACAAGTTTCTTTTGAAGAATAAATTCTGATGCCCATGCTTTATCCTCTACTAAAAGTACTGGCTTTAAAAAGAATCATCAATTATTTGTTATTAAACATTTTCTTTGCTGTGAATTAAAGACTTCATTCAGGGATAAATTATGAGCTATCTTTGTAATCTCAACAAAACTTTCTAAGAAAAACAATATAAAATATTAGGATTATAAAAGATATCAGATTAACAACTCAAGCTATAAAATGTAAGAAAAAGGGCAAGGCCAACTCAGAATACATAGAGAAAAATCTAGAACATTTCAAATAAACTTTATTACTTTGTTATAAATAAGGTGTCTTCTATTGTAGTAATAATGGATGAGGCATCAAGAGTAGAAATAAAGCAGTAAAAACATTGATATACAAAAAGTCCAAGAAGCTTCTCATAACTGAAACAGATCTAATATGAAAGTGCGAACCATGTTAAGAAGCACTGAGGATACCTTTGCTCGGATTGAGAATCAACAGAGAAGAACCATGGGGTGGGAAGTGGTATCCAGTAACAAAAATCAGTATTTTGTGAAGCTTTTACTCATATCAAGATACATACACATTTGATAAAATCAGTGACAAACTGGCAGAGGAGAAAGAAAGACTGCGTATTATTACAAATAGAACAGATTAGAACATTCGCATATTACTACAGACAGAACTGATTAGAACATCAAGTATAAACGGAGGAAGTTTCTATATATTAATTCCAAAGATACATTTTTGAAAGTCATTATATTATATAATTTAAATTTATAGAAAATATTTTATATCATTGACAAAAGTGACCTTACCATGCTACCAACAACTGTTGGGCCTTCGGGACCCTCATACACACAGCATGGAGGAAAATGAGGCCTAATATAATTTCATAAGCCAGGCTAAAGTTTAGTGACTTGTCTCTGGCCTATCACTAA